CTTCTGATCGTAGATCTACCACCGGTTACTATCTTTTCCTTGGTAATTCTCTCATCTCTTGGCAGAGTAAGAAACAAGCTATTCCATCTCGCTCTAGTACAGAAGCTGAGTATAGAGCTCTCGGGGATACCACATCAGAACTTCTTTCATTGCGGTGGCTTCTTGAAGATATGGGCATTCCTCAACCTTCTTCTACTGATTTATATTGTGATAATCAAAGTTCTATGAAGATTGCTCATAATGATGTCTTTCATGAACGCACTAAACACATTGAGGTTGATTGTCACTTTATTTGCCATCATGTTGCACAAGGAACTGTACATTTGGTTTCCATTGGCTCTGCTGATCAACCAGCAGATCTCTTTACCAAGGCTCATTTTCCTGGACGCTTTCGTACTCTTCTTTCCAAACTCAAGTTGGTTTCATCACAACCACCTTGAGTTTGAGGGGGATGTTAAGATGTGAACATAATTATATTTAGAATTATTGTAAATATTTTATACTTTAGAATATTCTCTTTGTATACTTTATACCTTAGAATATTCTCTTTGTAAACACCTATATATAGGTCATTGTACATACAGTATAATTCAAGAAAGCAATAAATCTTTCTTAAGATATTTCTCCTTCCTTTCAGTTTCTAACAATAATAAAGCAAATGTCGGAGTAACAAATACTATTCATATTATCATATATATGTTATTTTGATATTTGGAAAGGTCAAATCTTATTTTATTCCTTTTGCAGAAAGAAATCCAACCTCCAAAAGTACAAAGTGTTCCAGTCTTTTTATTTCTTACCTACTGGAAGACCCCACTTCAGATTTCTAAATGAGAATTATATGAAGCCCAGGACTGTAGATGACAGAATTTTTAAGGAATCAGAGTCCAAAGTTCTCTCTTTTTATTTCCATATTTCATTTCATAGTTATTTTTTATTTTCTTGGTAGATATATATGCCGTAATCCATAGGTGAGTTAGAGAGGAGTTTGGTTGATTCTTCATTTTATCAATTTGGAATAACGAGAATATGAACGTTTGATTCCTTATGAAATCCTTAATTTTTATAGAGATAATTACAATTTATTATAATTAATTAACTACATTGAAAAGTTAGACTTTCTTTCAATATTCAAAGAAAAGTTAAGAAAGCAAAAATCCTTTTGGAGATGCACCACTATTTTTGACGTGGCCAAGGATAAAAATGTGTACGTACAAACTCAATCCTTTGTTAATGGTGTTCTCAAGAGGGCATCATTTAATGTGCTACATCACGAAATGATACACACACTACTTTACTGCAACAAAAGCTTTCAAATATCAAAGAGAGGCTGTAAAACACTTCATCAACGTTACATATATATTTTTTATCAGCCATCAACATTACACACACACATACATATATAATGTCCAAACTCAACCACTCCTATGCATACCTGCAAACTAAATTTTGCTTATTTTTTGTAGAATATTGCCCGCCCCAACCCAAATGCTGATCAAATTTTACAGATGAGTTTCGTTTTACGCCTATAATTTAGCAGATGATTAATCAGTGATGTTTTGGATCAGGTCCTCCTGGACTCAGTCTTTTGGACTCCTCAAAAGGCTTTCCTTCCTGTCTCTCCATGCTTTCCTTCAACACTAATTCGGCTTCCTCCATCAGGGCATGCTTTTTGGTCGCCCCGCCTGAAATTTCCTTGGAACTGTATTGTCGCCCCTCGGACAATAATGCCTGACTCCTCATCGAAAATGGAACAATCGGGCGAGATTCAGAACCCGAAAACGAAACGAAAAGGATTAGGAGAAAACATAGCCAAAAACTCAAGTTAGTAGCCATTTTTCTCTTAGTTGGTGACTTGGTGTATATGACTCTCGGTATGGTGCGATATATATAGAGAACTGATAACCTGATGCCATAATCTTTTTCTACTATTAGAATTTGTTTGGGATCACGTTTTTGTATATTCAATACATCATCAAGGATATATTAACCGACTTCTAATCCTTATTTTCATACTTTTGATCACCTATTATGATTCCATTCTTTTTTTCTTTTTGTCTTATCCCTGTTCTAATGTGAAATCTCAAAGCACAAAAAAAGAAGGATTTGTATCTTTTTCGAACGCCAAAATGCGGTGGCTTTTCACCGCCATTGGAAGAAAAATTTGGTAAATATCCTACTAGTCCTAAACCTAAATGCTAAGCATAAAATCTTTGGAATTCCTACTTCTCTGTATTCCATATTGCTAAGGTCATGGGAAATGAATTGGGTGCTTAATCAGGAGGTTAGGACATATGGAATCAGTATGTGATGCAAAAGCAAAAAGTTAATATGGTCTGTGGCGCTAGGAGTTGAGTTTTCTCTTTGGAAAGGGGAAGATGAATCTACCTTTTTCCCCAATCAGATTCTTTTCTCTTGAGTTCCGTGTAACTCCAATGAGAGAGTTTGTAGTAGCATATCCAGTTAGATTGCACTAGTTTTCTTCTCCTTTCTTTTTCTTTTTCTTTTTATTTTTATTTTTATTTTTATTTTTATTTTTAAATTTGGATTACATAATTAGAGGCAATCTTCTCTTGTTTCTAATCTTGCCTCTACAATATTCTTACATCTCAAACCTAAAACTTTATATTTTTACTAAATAAAAATTATCACTAAATTATTTAAATCATAAGCGATGGTTTGCACTATTCTCTTTGCAGCACCCGAGAAAACGAAAAACATTTTGGCAGATCCAATCAGTCACTTAACTTCTCAAGATCAATAAAAAAAACAAAAGGAAAAAGGAAAAACACAACACATATATTAGGTTAGTGTCCACAACCCTCATGCTTGTGTACGTGATACCAACTTTCACACCAATCCTGATGGGAGCGGCAAATAAGAAGAGAGAAACATAATGGGTTGGAATTGACGTACAATAAGAGCTAAAATTCCATTTAATTCCCCGAATCCCTCTACAAGCTTTTCAATATTCAAATATGAAATTTTTAAGTTAGAATCTCAAGTTTTCACCAATTTAGACACATGTTAAGGAAAAACAATTCTTTACAATGATATCAAAGAACAAGTTTTGTGGCTATTTTTTTCAACAAAGCATACAAATATAATTCAATTACTTGTTACAGGTGGCGTTATTGCCACACATAAAGCATTCATTTTACTTTAAAATGCTTCTCTTTTACTTTTATATTCTTTTAATTAGGGGTTCTTTAAAATATCATTTTCATTTACTCATTTTTTATTACTTAAATTTCAAAAATTACATTTGAAAATTGATTATAAAAATTAAGAAAAACGAGTCACCTTTCATTTAAATTGTAAGGTGTGGGAAGTCACCTAAAATAGGTATGTGTAGACATTAAGGTTTAAAGATTTACTTAAAAAAGAGAAAAGGCATACGCACAACTCAAAATTCTTTGTATGAAATACAGCTACAATACTTTAAATTTGAGAACTTAACTCAACTTATTTTACATAGAAAGACTTAATTGAGTTAAAATAAAAGTTTGAGGCAGTATTTGAAACCATTTGAAGTTTCTAGAACAAATTGCAATATATGGAAAATGCGCATGCATAATTAAAATAAGTTTGAGAATGGTGGACTAAATGAAACAGATCATAAAGTTGCAGAATAAATCAGAGATAATTGAAAGCTGAGGATTAAATTGAAACAAATTTAATCAGAAAGGTCAAACAGGGTTCTGCAAAATTTGTAACACACTCTGCATTTTGATCTTTGTAGAATTAGGGTTTGAACCGGTTGTGGGCGAAGCCATGAAAACGGAATGGAATTGGGTATTGATCCCGTTCATGGCTGCTGAAATGGGCCTGGGTAATTTAGTTTTGATTTTGGATCTTAAATAAACGGGCATGAAAACCCATTCATGGTTCTTTGTTCCTTTTCACTTTTAGTCCCTCTTTCCAAAGCTTTCCTCGTCTTTCAAAATACCGATATATGACAAATGACTACCGCACATCTGATTGTAGGATATCTAGCAAAATCTCTAGGCATGGCGATTCTTATATAAATTTTGATTTAATATATTGAATAATATATTTATTAAAAATTATTATTTTTTAATATAAAATTAAATATTAATAAATTTAAAGATACAAATATATAAATAGGATGTAAAAACTAATTGAATTAATTATATTTATATTATATTTTAATAATTAAACCAAATAAATGTAAAAAAATGTATTAAATTGAGTGTGCACTAATTAGTTGCCAATCTTAAGACATTTATTTGTAGTCCATACAAAGCAGCAAAAATTAAACTGAAGACGTGTTTAGTACGGTGGTTTTGATATGGTGGTTATTAAAAAAACTATTTTAGAATAGGTATTTGGTAAATTTGTTTATTTTAAAATTATTATAGATTATTTGATAAATTTTTTTATTTAGTAGTTAGGAATTGGTGAGTAAAGATTAGCGAGTAGCAATTAGGATAAACCGTTAACGAATTAAAAAAATTACTTTAAATAGCTTTTTGAACTAAATTGTTAGTAAATTAGGATATTTTAATTTTGTTGACAAAATTATTTATTTTAATTTGCTAATTTTTTGTATGCTAGTAAAATTAAACTTGATGTGAAGATCTAACCCAGCTCATCCACTATAAGTCGAGTCATAAATCTAAAGTATTAATCCAAAATTCAATATAACTCAAATTGATATTACCTAAACTTGACTTAGTTGAGTCAACTTGAAGTAACTCAACTAAAATTAATTAACTTTTTAAAATTTAAAATTTTAGTTAATTATACTTTTAGTTATAATTTTTAAATATAAAATAAAACTAAATATATAAAATGATCATTATTTTTTTAATTATGAGAGTTAATACTAATTTAATAGATTTTTTTGCTAAATAATTAATTAATATAGAAATTTTTAAAGAAAAATAAAAAATATAGTAAAAGTTAATTAGATTGTTGCATTAAATTTTAACTTTTTATAAAAGTTAGGCCCACCTAACCTAATCTAAGACTCATATAGATGATTTATGGGCATGTTTTTATTATATCTTTTAAACATTAATTCATATAGAAAGGTAAAAAAATTGACATTAAATTTAACGCTCATGCCATGTGTAGGTCTCTAAAAATAATAATCCTATATCAGATCCCCTTTTGCTAGTTAAAAGAGAGTATTATAATTATTCCATATTCAAAGAAGTGATACTTTGCATATCAAGTCAGATCCCCTTTTGGTGAAATCTTGAAAATAATCAAGTTTAGAGATTGCACTTTATCAGTTGCATATCTGTCAAAAATTAGGTAGAAAACATATATTGCAAAACAATATTGTTTTAATAAATCTTCATTTAAAACATTAAAATAACATATTTTTAAAATAGAAATGATACTATTTTAGTCTTTTTATTAATATTTTTAAAATATTTTTTTGTCTAATTTTTTACAAATTTAACTAATAAACACTAATATTCAGATAAATACACTGCATATAAGATAAAAAAAATTCTCATGCACATGTAAGATACATCCACCTGATATTTTTTCTTTTTTGGCCAACCGATTAATCCACTTGAGTGGTAAACTTAGAATTTGAAAGCTTCTGCCCTAAGTTTGTGACTTTTTCTTTAACCGACAATTGGCTGTTGCATTAACAAAATTTAATTTTCCGAAGATCGTTTATAATTTCATTGATAGGTTTTTTTAATTTGTACTTTTTAAACACAAGATTTTAATATTAATTATTATTAAAAAAATAAAAGTTAATTTTAATTTAATTAATTATTTAATTAAAATAATTACATAGTATTAATGATAAAATTAATGTCACATTTTATCATTTTTATATTAATTAATTTAAAAAAATATTAAATACACCGTTAACGGGATTTAAAAGTATAAGTTCAAAAATCCTTCATTAATAAAGCATGATCCAAGTAATAAATACTATTCATATATATATATACATGTATATATATTTATTATTCCAACATGTACTTTTTAAACACATATTAAGAACAAGTTTTTAATATTAATTATTCTTGAAAAAAATAAAAATTAATTTTTATTTAATTAATTATTCAATTAAAATAATTGCATGACATTAATAATGAATTAATGTCACATTTTTCCATTTTTATATTAATTAATATTAAAAAATACATTAATTACGCCCCTCACTTATTATTTAAGAGTACAAGTTCAAACATCCTTCGTCAATAAAACATGAGTTTGTTTAATTTGTACTCTAAAAATACAGATTAAGATATAATAAATGTATTTTTTATAATTAATTTATATCAAAATATAAATTTTTTTATATATT